GCCAAAAAGTTAGGGAAATTTACATAGATGCCGCCCAATTCCTATGCATTCATATATCTAACACTTATACTGTTATTCCACCCAAATCATTCATATTACATAAGAAAAATATTTCCATACTAACTTTTAAAAAGTAAAATACATGTTTTCATGCATTAGTGAGGTGCTATGTGGAATAAAAATTCTAGTTTAGGCTGTATATAAGTAAATACATAGGAAGTGATTGGTATGTCTGTAAATCTTCCTTCTACAATTTGTTTTTCGACACCACATGCATTAGGATGATTTTATGTTTGTTTTATGTTTGTTTGTTTTTTGTTTTTGTTTTTTTTTTTTTTGCTGGCAAAACTCACACCCCTCATTTAAGCCATGATTAAAAAATAGTCCCACTAGCTAGCAACATGAACGAAATAAGTGACATTTTATTCCAAGAAAATTCGAAAGAGGCAAACAAAATCTTCTTTAACTTGCTAGCGATCACTGAGAACCAACTGTGGCCACCCATTCTTCTTTTGTTCGTCAGCCTGCCATCAGTTGCTTAAGCCAATAAATGAATGTATTGCATAAAAAATGCTTTCATCTTTTAAGCCACTATGATATTTGCTTGGCAATAAGTGACACCTAATCCTATTTCCAAGCCAATGAGTTACAACTACGACCAACTCCTATGTGGCTATATCCAATAGCATTTTGTTTTTATATTCTCAGCGTAATTTTATTTTAATCCGATTAAAAAATAGATAAGATCGCCACGCTAGATTCACACACGGAGAGTTTTGGAATGAATAATAATTATAATAATTATGAAATAAATATGAGTTTCTTATTATGCTTTAAGATGGACACAATTAGATAGTTTTAACCTTATTGTGTTTTTGTATGCTATGAATTTTACAATACTAAAATAATTTGGCATCTATGGGCTATATAGAAATCCCACATGCACAGATAAATAATTTGAGAGAAGCAATAAAAAAGATAAATTTGCTTATGTGAAAAACCTAAGAAGTTAAAAAAATTACAGGGCATCGCCTAGTCGGAATATTGCTTGCAAGTTATTAATGGGTAAGAAAGATCCTCCCCATAGTTGTAGGGGGCATTAATACAATCTAATAGCTATGAAACATGAAAGATATCTCTTATGGTGGGAGTAGGAAGGGTGTTAAAGTGTTAGAGTTTTATAAAATGATGAGTGGAAAACAATAATTGATGTTGGATGTTAAAGTTGAGACACATTTGATGATTGGATTGGTCGTTTTTCTTGATATGAGTTGAGATTGGGCAACCAAAAAGAAAAGTGCCAAATATTGATAGTTAATATATGTTAATCATTGGTAGGTGTGATGAGTAATGATCAACAAAGGACTTCAAAAGTCATGTGATGATGAACGAACAACAGAATCATTTTTCTAATAAAAGAGGAACCTAAGCGATTGGGAGGTCAAGCATTGGATATTGACGACTAGCAAGGCCCAAACAATCGATAAATTGGAGCTATGGTTGACAAGGAATATCAGAAATTGAGTGATGACAAGCAAATAACAATCAGTTTATTCATAAGATATGAGAATAAAAAACTAATAAGAGGAGTCAAATGTGCTAAATGTTGATCATTAGGGTTCATTAGATGAAGTTCGTTGTAAAATCATAAAAGTGGATATTAGTGGTAAGAAGCCTAATTGTTCTTTTAACGATAGAGAATAACAAAAGATCGGATATGAAGACAAGCATCAAGTATTAATGAATGCTTAAATTTGAATTTCAATAATTGGAAAGTGTTAAGTGATGGTTGATGTGAAATATTAGAAATTAAGAGATGATGAACAATCAACTTGATGTTTCTCTTCATGAAACATTATACTAAGTGATTGGTAAGTTGGATTTCAAACTTTAGTAGCTAGCAAATGTCAGATGTTGTTTATTAGTAAGTATCAAATAATGATCCATGAAAACATTATATTTCAAATTAAAGTGAGCAACCATTTCACTTACTTTAACTTATTATTTTTTTGGAGATTGAAAGATAATGTCAAATGTCCTCAAACATTAAACATCAAACATTATTGTACCAAGTGTTATGCGATGAGTGATAAGGAACCTCAAAAGTCATATAAAGTTAGACAATCAACTTGATCATTTTTCAAATAAAAGTGGAGACTAGACAAATGACAAGATTGTGATCAAATCATAGTGGATGATATATATTATATATTAATAATTTGTAATTGATTAGCGATGATTGATGGAGTGTCAGATGTTATCCAAGAATAAGCATTTTGATTAATAATTCTTTAATTGAGGGGGAGATCATGTGGCTAAATAGATGGGTGTAATATATGTATGGTTGATTAATGTTGAACATCGGTTATTAAAAAGCAGTTAGCTAGTGATGGTTTAAGAAATGCCATAAGTTGTAATATAATGGTAAACTAACTTCTCCATTTCTTGATAGAATGGTTGATGTTAGATGTCAATTGTTTGCATGTATCAAGTAAAACCTTATAAGGAGCATTAGAAGTTGAATAATGATAGACGATTGGCTTTTTCATTGTCCTCATTAATGGGACAATCATGCAACTAGGAAAACAAGCATAAAAAAGTGCATTTGATGAATGTTAGGTGTTATTTTTTATTGTAATATGAGGAGAGTCTGAATGATTAGTAAAATGTCCATCAAATGCCATTGGTAGATAAATATCAACCACTAGTCCTTAACAAGTTTTGAGTGATGATACGTATAGAATATACAAACTCAGATAAATGTGGTTAGTCGACTTAATCATTCTCCTGATAATAGGAAAAATTGAGTTACCAATTATATATATATATATATATATATATATCTTGAATGTTCGTGGTTTTATTAAATTTGGATGTTGATCACTCACAAGTGTTAACTAATTAGAAAAATGAATGTCAAAATGATTGAAAATAATAATTGCTTAATTTGGTCATCCTTCAATACGATAGAATATTAGGCACTTTGAAGATTGCCATTAAATTTTAATAACTTACAGATATCAAATATTATCAATGTTTGGCTTTAGACAAAGTGCAACAATGGGCATTAATCTCTATAGAAGACTAACATCAAGTATTGGTTAGCGTAAGTTGAAGACTAACTATGAATGATAATTTATGTTAATTTTTGTTAACAACTAACCTCAGTTGCAGGAGACGACAAGCATCAGCTAACAACCATGGGAAATCCAATTTCAGGGCACTAGGCTCCACTAACTTGAGAATAATACATTAAATTGTCTAATTAGATAACTCAACTTACCATTCATCCCATATCTAAAAATCTCACAGTTTTCTAGTAGAGGGGTCATTTAAGTCATTTTTCCAAAATTCTTAGATAACTTATTATATGGATGAATAAGTTACCATGATCGTGTTATTTATTTTAGCATTGTAGTGTCTTCATAAACTCATGATTCAACGATTTTAGACTCAAATATCATTACAACTATAAGCATGCAAAAAATTTGAGGAAATTAAATCCCTCAAATGACCTTGAGAAGTTTGTAGTTATACATCTTAAGGGTCTGATTTAGTCATGTTTGGACTCAAATCTAAGCATTAATGATGTCATTTGGTCCATCTCATAGAAATGTATTGTCCTAATTATAATCTTTTTTCTAAAGTGAACTTCATCTCATCTCAATATTGATTCCACAAGTTTATAACCAAAATATTTTGGTGCTTTATGATTAAAAAATTATTTCAAAAATTCGGTTATATCAAATAAACTTCTTATTGATTTATCAAGTGTAAACCTATTAACAATTTGATCAAACAGAAGCCCATTGGCGGAATAATTTTCTTTTTTAGCTCATGCAATATGAGTGTATTGAGTTTAAATAATTATGAGATAGTACGCTAATACCCTTGTGCTCTACCTTAATTCTTACAAGTGTTATTAAGGAAATTTAGCCCTACCACCATAATTAAATCTCATAGTTACTTTAAGTGATTTCTTAAGAAGTTGAAATAGCTATGAGAACCACTGAAAACTATTTTGTTTTGTTTAGTGATAAGCGTAATCTAGTCACCATATTTAAAATATAAATCACATGCTTTTTGATAATTTGTGCTCCCGAGTTAATACATTAATAAATTTATTTCCGTCCTTTAACCCACTTACAAAAAATAAACTAACAAAACAAATGATATTGAAAAAAAAACATTAAAACTTTTTAAAATTTATTATTCAACTTTTTCAGTACTTGTTTAATAGATTGTAGATTATATTAAATCAAACTTATTATAATCAATATATAATTTGATGAGTTAAACTACTTAAATATTTAAATAACTTCACTAGGTATCAATAGCAATATATAGTTAATGTGGCATGATGATTATTGAATCTCATGGGAAAAAATCATCATATATATATATATATATATATATATATATGGGCAGCTTATTTGGTGTGGTGACGTTTTGAAAACTCACCTGACGTGTTTGAGTAAATTGCATTTTGACAGCTTATGTGTTTTCAAAGCACAAAAAATAGTTTTTTCACACCACACATATCTATGTTCGGTGGGAGTTTATTGACAACGGTCTAATTTTTCCAAAAAAATAAAAATTTGTAATAGCCACCGCACCTAGCTTATCAGCAGATTATTTAATAAGTTACAGCTGCCCAAACAGATTCTTAGTCAAAATTAGTATTCAATTTAACACCAAATATGATTTGTCATTAAAGTTTCAGTTACCTTTTTTTGAATATGAAAATTAATTGCATGTTACATATAACTTTTTAACTTTCTTGTCTTGGTCAACTTTTAAATATTTATTATTATTATTATTATTATTATTATTATTATTATTATTATTTGTATAAGATATGCATTCATAATTGCGAATAATGTAAAAAGACTCATAGGTGATTGGCATAACGAACGGATAATTTTTTCAGGTGCCATAGGTAAATGAATTCCGTTATGGCCCAAACTGACATTTTCAATAGCTGGGTCGTCTGACCCATATGCCATCACAGTCATTCCCATGCGTGATAGGCCGCATAGGGGGAATTCTAACGACGCGCCGGGCACTTCTGTGCGCTCACGCAACAGAAGCCCCAGGGATAAACGGTTCCCCGCATTTTTTGAATCATTCCATGCACTGCGCGAAAGCTCGAGGTGGAAGCAAAACTGGCGAGAAAGGATTCCGACTCGAATTCAATCTCGGAAAGTAAAATGGTATCGCAATTCTTCCTCCATTAATCTTTAAGTTTCAATCCTTTTCCAATGCAGAGTATTGGGGTTTTCGGGAGTTTAAGAGGCTTCTTGCATCGATGGCATTTTCTTTCTCTTCAAATTCACAAAATTAGGGTTTCAGCATTTGCAATTGAAAGAGATTTGGTTGTTTGGGGCATTGGATTGAAGATGAAGTAGCCATTGGAAGTTTTTTAGTTTTCCACCTATCAATTTCTTTATCTTGATCCAGCATGAGTTTCTCTGTTGCAAACAATGAGGGGTATCTTGGGGATGGCATAATATCAGCAAGCCTCCAGTGCAATTATCCGGGCATTTGGAGGAATTAATTGATGATTTTTTTCGTTTTAGAAGCTTGATTAATAGATGAAATCTGAAATATTGAAAGTAATTGAATGGTATGCCTATTTACTTGAGTTTGAAGAATTTTCTGTAATTTATTTTGTAGCAGGATATCTATGATTTCTATGGCTCAATTTTTTTTAATAACTGGTTGTTCTTCTTATTTCTATAAATATATTATTGTTATTGCTAGATCATAAGCTACTATAATTTCTTCTTTTAATTTTGATCGCCTATTACATGAAAAACATGAATCCTTTCATAGCCCATAATTAAAACATTTACATCCATTCCGATAAATGTACTATCTTCATTAAGTTTATTCTATAGTAATTCAAAGATCTCTATTAATAAGTGATCTTTTAAATTATTTTTAAATAAAATATGGAAATTATAACCATTAACCTTATTCATAATGTCTGCATTGATAATTATTTTACTAATAATTGCCCTTTCATTATATCTATAAAACTAAATAATTTTATTTTTTGTCTTAACAACATATGTACATCCACACATGTGGTCCAATGTATATTCTATAATTCGTTAATGACTTTCTAGTAGACTTTATGTACTTGAACATCTTTTGTTCAGATCAATGAGTTAACAATCTGATACAAACAAAGCATTTTGACTCATTTGCTTGACCAGCTAGGCCAAACAACCATTGAGCTTGCTCAAACTCAGCTCATTTACACCCCTACCCATATAGTACATGATGAACCTTTGATTTCTTTGAAGAAGTTTAAGGTAATCTATGTTGAGAGTAATGCATGCCATGAGTGCTAGTTACTTGTTTTTAACAAAGTCTACCAGAACAACTTTGTTCCTAAATCACTAATTTCTTAAAACATTAGTTATTAAATTTAGTTGTTTCGTTATTGTTAAAATTGAGCTGTCTGCTTAATTCACAGGCAACTGTGGGTCCCAGGATATGCTCCAAGAGAGACCACACTAGAGGTCGTAACTTTGGTTTATCTCTGCAGAAGAAGCAAGAAATCAAAGCAGCTTTTGAGCTGTTTGATACAGATGGATCTGGTACAAAATGCTATTTTACCAGGCTTAAAACCTTTGCATTAACCTTTTAAACCTTTGTTTCTCTGCAATAGTACATGACCTTTTTTTAAATCTGTATTAGGAACCATTGATGCCAAAGAATTAAATATTGCTATGAGGTACTTACCATTGCAATAAATCAAATTATGATTCACAGTAAATTCCCTAATATTTACTAAAGAGTGGTCTATTCCTTTCTTGCAGGGCCTTGGGGTTTGAAATTTCGGATGAGGTACACTGGTTTTCACTTAGTATCTATCATTTATGAGCTGTTTTATTTGTTAATGGTAATACTGACGGAATAACTATAGGACGCAGTGAAGAAAAATGACTCATGTAGCCAACCACACTTAGTGGGATAAAGTCATGTTTTGTTGCTGTTGTACTGATGGAATAACTTTTACTATAATGAGGTTTATTTTAAATAAATAAAATGAATTTTGTAATTTAAGTTTGTCATCCCATAACTTACTAAATTCGAAGGCAAAAATGGAGGTTAAGCTGAAATTTAGGGATAAGAATTGCATATTGTATGTTGTGGGCAAAGAAATGAAGATATACTATTGTAGGGGCGTATCTTAGGACTTTCAAAATACAAAGGGGTGCTTCAAGGAAAAAAACATGTCTAGAGTTCTTGATAAAATTTATACAAAGATTGCAATATAAATAATAAAAAGAGATGGATATTTGTTAAAAGTTATATCTAAAACATTTGTTCAAAAACATAAGATATTTATATGATAAAAAGGCAAATGGCAAAAGAACTGTGTACAAAATAACGCTCAAATTTATTTTGTGCTCACAAAATATTATGTTTATATTTATCATCCATTATTCATCTTCTTGATCATTTGTCTTACACTGACAAATAAACATAAGGAGCTCTGGCACCCTTTTTTTTTAAAAATTTTGCTTTATTGATTAAAGTTTTGCTTGCCAATTAGGTTGACAATATGCTGAATAAATGATTTTTTTTTGTTTTTGGGTGTTATACACTGTGTTCTCTGGATAAGCAGATCTCGATTGACTATCATCTAACTGTTCTTATCTCCGAAGAAGACATTGTGTGATTCAAGCAATTTTAGGTTTGCAATGTAGGCTCTCAGCCGGTTTGGATTCAAGCATTCCATATTTGGTGTGAAATTTATGATATTTTGGTTTGAAAAAGTTGAGAAAAGTATAATAGTTTAATATGCAAATTATCACTAGTATAATATTGCAGGACTTAATTCATTTATTCTGTGATTGTAACTATGCCACCACTTACTCTTTTTTTTCTTTTCTCTAGCTATTGGGAATGTTTTGTTGCCTCTATCTGTTGTTGCTATTTGCAGAACTTCTATTTCACAAAATTTATATTGCATTTGATCCACCTGGCCTCTTCAAGTGGCAGTTTTGTTAAGCTATGTGCTTTTGTCACAGATGAAAAATGTTTTCGGCTGAATTTATTCTTGTTGTTTTGGGTTTTGAATGGTTAAATTTTTTTAACTTCATACCTAGAACTAAATTGGGATTTTCTTGTGTCAAACATACTTACTAACCTTGAAATTCGGCATGCAATTGAAGATTTTTGATTGAATGAAAATTTCTTTTTGTTTTCAATATTTTGTTCAACTATGATGTGTGATTGTTTTGTGTGTGGCACACGTGAAGAAAATTATCTCTTTATACAGATGTGAGGCTAAGATTTTGTTACTTTGGTCAATTCTTTTATTGATCTAATATTTTCTACATATTTTATTATTGACTTACTATTGTTTCTGAAATGAATGAAGAGTGAAACTTAGAAACATGTACTGCTAGATTGCTGCTCTGCGATAATAGCCTCCCACAGGCATTGCCTTGCCCGTTATTGCTCACCTCCCTTGCTCTATCTTATGCTTGGCCTAATTCAACCCATAACTCTAACACTTCACACTTATGATAATTGTCGAGTCCACTCGTTGTTGCGTGTAATTCAATATTCCATGTTTATTCAAATTTGGTTCTTCTTTAGGATTCTTCAATTTCATGTAAATTATGACATTGGTTTGAACAGATACTTAACATAAGAAAGGATAAATTACAGAATAAATACAAATAGGAAATGATTTAAAGGATAAATATGAAAGTTCACAGAATCTGATTAACACAAAATTTTGGACGAGAAATAATTCATGACAATGAAATTAGATAAGTTGAAAATAAATTTAGAAAAGAAAAACTTTTAATATGTTGCAATAAAGAAAAGTGGCTTAAATTAAATTATCCTATGCTTATTAAGAAAAACAAATAAAAAGGACAATTGATATTTAAATAATTAAAATCAAAATAAGTGAGATGCTCATGATAATGCTATGATTAGAAAGATATTTTTTTTTATTTAGAAAAGTTGTACATTTAACCAATTTGTTTTGGTTAATTACTATAAAATTAATATAAAAAGATTTATTTATTTGTTATATATATGTATATATATATATATAGTGATTAGTTAATTAATAATAAGAACATATTGTAGAATGATAAAGTGATAAATGCTAGTAAGTTATAAGCTTTTACTGTGGTTCTTCAACATGGATACATTTAGATTAAAATGCCATTAGATACATTTAGAGCTTTATGTGCATTAAGTAAGTTTATAATTCTTACATTGTTTTTCTCCTACAATCTTAAATGTTAATATCACATATGAGCATCTTACTAGCATGTGATTTATTTAATTCAAATGTTTGATGAAAGAAGGAAAGTAAATATATAGATGTGCATATGATTACATGTGTATATTTGGATTTTAAAGTGATGGAGCCACCCCTTTTATGATTGGTTGTGGAGATAATGTACGCGTGCACATAAATAGAAAGAAAAATGATTAAATACCTTCCTAGATTAGTTTTAAATAAAAATTTATAGAAAGATTGTGTCTTTAGGGTACACGTATTGACAGTAACTTCTATTAATGAGTGTATTATATAATAAATAAGATGAATTATAAAAACTAAAACAAGAAAACCGTACAATCTATTATTGTGCTTTAATTTTCTTAAAAAATTAATATATATTGTTTTACTCTTGCATATTATCTTATAAATTCTTGAATTACTATAATTTAAAAAGATATTTAGCCTCTGATTTATTTTAAATCACAAAATAGTTAATGATAAATTTTTTAGGTAAGCCTGTTTTGAGCTAAATGAATGATAGAAGAGAATTTGTCTATAGGCATTGAAGAGCCCCAAGAGATTGGTAATGTAATAATTTTATTTTATATATTATAGTAAATTTGAAAAAACTTTAAGTTTGAGAGTATTTTAGATTAAAAATTTTTTGTTATAGTTGACTCTTTTGTGTAATTGAAAGTTTTTATATTTACTTTTTAATTTGCAGATTATTTAATTTTAGAAATATTTTCTCTATCTTCAATTCTTGTTTTAATATTCCAAGCTTCTAGACCGAGTCATGACAACAGTGTTTCAAAATACTGACCATGCACATCATATAGGAAGGTGGGAAGGCTTATTGCTCTCATTGCAACCCCCTAAGTTCAAACAACGCTGAGAGGTTACTAATTTTCTAGCTAACATATGATCTAAACAAAAACCTAAACATAACATAATCAGAACTTATATAGGACCTCTATAAATTTGAACCAATATGAAATAATTTAAAAAATGCAAAACATAAATTTTAAGAAATAAAATGAACTTAAAGGAGAATTGGAACTCCACCCTTAGAAGACATGCAAAATTTACTTGTGCGGAGAAAACTGAATTTAGAATATAATGAAATGAATTGGACTATCTTCTTATTTATAGATAGAAAAAGATGTCACATATGGCCTACACAAATTTGTCTGTCTTTAAATTTTATGCCTAAAAAATCATGTAAGTTGCCTTAAAAGATGTGCAAAATTTATTATTATCCAATATATGAATCTGAATGACTAACATGTCCTTTGACGATCATTCTAGGTACATAAATTTAAGCATCTAAGAATAATGTGTGAGTAGTCTTAAAATTGAATTTAAAATTACCTGTCATTGAAAGGCTCGCAAATTATCAAAAAATTAAACATGTATTTGTGCTCCGATTAAATCTTAAACATTTAAATAATTAGTCTGAGAATGTTGTATAAGTTCAAAATAAGTTTAAATTAAAATTATATCTGACTTGAAAATTTTGTAAGAGCTCTTTTTCAAGAATCAAATTTAAATTTACTAAACTACACTCTCGAACAGACCGCATTTCTATAGGGAAAATTCACAAGTCCCACTTTGGCTCATTTGATCTTCCTTCTCATAGGGATTGGAGTTGATTGGAATGAGTTTTCTTTAGCTAACTCAATCATTCTTGTCAGAACATGAGTTAAAAGGTTTGATGGCTAAATAATATTCAAATGATAAACTCTAATTCAATGGGAAATATGAATATTTTGAATATTTCAAATATTAACTCGGTGATGATTGGTTTGATTGTGAATCTCAACTAGAGGAGTTCACTCCTAAAATAAAAATTTTTAAATTATGAATCGAAATGACATAATAATTTTTCATTCATTGATGATGGTCTTGTTAAAGATGAATTTCAACTGGAATGGTCTACTTTTAAAATCTAAATCCTTAATTACAAGCATTAGAGTTTCAAGCAAACTCATCTATGATGATCATGTTAATTATGAATCTCAACCGGATGGAATTTTTCATAAAATTAATATTTCAAACTAAGAAAATTAAAAATATTTAATGAAATATAACATTTAAAAGCTAGAGGAAACTTTATCTACTCTTTGCAATTAGTTTTTGAGAATAGCAAATTTGTGATTAACATAAGCTCGCATGAAGCTTTTGTTGTATCAAGCAAATTACTACATTCATACTAAAAATAATTTGTGTTAGCAAGGACATTGCTTGAGTCATCTATCTATATAACTTGGCAAGTTGGCTTCATAAATAAAGCAATTACAATTAGAGCCCTTTGAACTAATGGTTTGGCTAGTAAACTTCATTATATTACAATCGTTGATATAGCCATTATATTTCGCAATGATTTTCTGTCCTTTAAGGTGTAAATCATAGATATACTTGATAGGACATAAAACTCTTTGTTAGCTAAGAGCGAATTGAATTTTCCCTTTTAGATAAACAACCGCCCAGATTTACAAAGTTTCATCGGATGAAGCAATATATGATTGCTGACAAAGATCCTTCTATTAGATTGGTTTAACTATCTTTATTAAGTAGACTAGAGATCATAATAATCCGCGACGATGAAACCATGGGATTTTGACCAAAATTATCATTATTCTCTCCACCATACACACTAAGCTCATAGTGGTAAATTTATATAGTTTAAAATCCTAAATTTACTGCTACTATACACTGAGCCATCTATGTTTTAATGATTAACACCTTAATTGAAAATCCTCTCATAGGGTTGTTACCTGTGTTAAACTTCAAAAGTCAAATCTTAAAATTCTAGACAAAATGAGGGTGAAATCTTGAAGTTGTGTCTTATCTACAATCGCTTTTGCCTAATAAAAAATTTATGTGTAATCCCAATCTTAAGACACATATGATTATGATTTGAGACAACTCTAATGTAGTTTTCAATCCTTAACATTACATTAGTTTATATCTCTAAAAAACATATTATTTTAGACTTTTCCACGCCAATCCTATTATTCGAGTGATTATTAGACACGTGTTAAAGTTCTATCCTCCTTTTGTCTTATTCAGTTGGGATGATTGGACTTCATTTTCACTCATTTAGCCAATCTAGTTTACATACTTTGAATTCAAATTTGATTGTTGCCACTACTCAACTTTCTAAATCGTCTTTGGCTAGGATCCTGGTTGAAACGGACATTATTTTTCTTCTAGTTAAGGAGTTGGGTTGGTTAGTCTTCTCATGTTTATTAGCAGAAAGTTGAATTTGAATGCATTCTTCTCTACTTTTCTTCATGTAAAATTTTGGACACAGCTACTCTGAATTTTTCCATGGCTTACCAAAATTAAGAATATTACTTTTTATTGATCCTTACATTCAACGAGAAGAGACAAAAACAAGAGACAAAAACAAATGATCAAATTCTATCTGATATGTAATGGACGTCATTTCACCAACTGCAATTCAAGCTTGCACAGAAAATTTGAAATCAACTCTAGATCTTATCTTTAAATCACTCATAAACTTCCCTTATTGTTTAAAGCCTCAAGTATATGATCAACATTCATATGCATATAAGAACAGTGATCCAAATCCTCTAGAAGTGTTAGCCCCTCATGATTTTATTGATCCAGATTATGAGCAACTTTGTATTTCTTAGATGGACAGGCAACTTCAAATCATGTTTGCAGGTGTTAAGCCGGTTCAATCAAGTTCCCCTATCCATTTGTGCTTGAACATCATATTGATTTAAGCCTCAAGTATATGATCAAAAAGTGTTCTATGAACCTTGGTTGAACTGGCTTAACACCTGCTTTGTAATTATAAGGTTAACATGACTTTGTCGGTTATGTCTGTTTCTTAAAATTTAGTGAAATTGTCTAACTGGAACATAAAATTCACTCACTATGCAGCAAATTGATGAGATGATTGCTGAAGTTGACCTAAATGGAAGTGGTGCAATTGAACTTGATGAATTTGTATGCATGATGACTGATAAAATGGAAGAAAGGGACATTCTGGAAGACCTGCATAAAGCTTTTCAAATCATTGATTACGACAGTGATGTAAAATACTAAAGACACTATAGTCTCATGCATATTATTTCTGTTGTTTTCATTAATGTACAGTTCATGTTAAGTGATTTAATGAATGTCAACTTCAACTTTCTGATTGCAGGGTAGAATTTCTGCAGCAGACATTATGAGTATCTCAAAAGAGTTGGGTGAAAGCTTCACCTACAAAGAGATTATGGAAATGATAGAAGAAGCTGATCAGAATGGTAAGGATTTGTTTTCCTTCTTTTAGTGTAATAAATTGATATTTGTCGATAGTTGAGATAATTCCCTATTATTATCTCAATCAGTAGTTGAGACCTTTTTCTTAGTTTTTCTGAAATTATTGGTGTAACACTTATATTGCTAGCAATAACGTAAGAAATTGCTCAGCATTCATCAGTGACCATCAGTGTTGAAGAAAAATTAGAGCTTATCCATGTCAGCTTAGAAGAAAATTCTTGGGTGCCATAGCTTTCACTATATAAAACTTAAAACTAAAAGTGTCAAAAGTCCCAATCATTCATGAATCAAGATATATATGTTATATTTTCAAGCCTTTTGCCTGTGGTTTTTCTTTTTCTTCATGTTTTTCTTCTATCATATAAAAAAACTGCAAATAATGTTCCTGCTTTCCTTCTCACCATGGAGAAGATGGTTTTGTATACATTTTCTGCATCTTATGTTGCCTAAATGTTGTGTTATTTGGTTTCAAAAACTATTGAAAATATCATTTTTGTTACACTGATATATGCAGGCTATGGAAATGTGGATGAAAAAGACTTCATTAGCATGATGAAAAGAACCAACTTCGGTTCTGAGATGAAGAGCAAATTTTGAAATTCATTAATCTTGAAATGAAGCGGAGCGGTGTTGAAGTCCGAGGAAATTTATACTCTAAACATCAACTCTTTCTTCTCTGTAGGCTTTCTAGTGTAAATTCTGTAATTACTCATATTTCTCGTTTCCAAACCCTTGTTAATTGTTCTTTTATGTGCTAAACCAAGAATGCCTTTAAAGAACTTCTGCATCAAATGATTAAATAAATAATAATGATTTTCAGGGATTAAACGATAACTTTTTCTATGATTATCTGCTTCAGTGATAGAAGACATCTATATTTTATGATAGTAGAGCTGGCTTATTTGGCATAGGAATTAGGTTTCTTGATATTTTTAATGGTATTTACTCGTCTCTGCTTCAACTTCTGTCATGAAACTTTTTGAACCGAATGAACTCTGTTGCCTAAGCTTTGCTGAATTGCATGCAAGTGAGGAGTCTGAAGCTATCCTCACTTGGTAAACTTTCCATCAGTTGGAGCTTCTTTTATGGAAAGACCTTTTGAAATTTATAGCATGGCTTGAAATTTTCTGACTGTATGATAATGCTTCAGCAGTTTTAGTAAATAAATCACGACAACAATAGGGTTTAACAAGCCCGACATGTAAGGTAAAACTAAGAATTGAGAAGGATTTGGATTTTCCAAATTTTGGATTTAAATGTCATTTTTTTGTTATCATAAGATATAAATTAATTTCTACTTAAATATATTACCATGCAACTCCCAACTATGATGAAATAATGTCTTCTTACATAGATTATAATCATATATATTGTATACAAACAATATGTCAACACGAATCTTAAAGAATTCATATGGCCAAACATAATAGCAATAAAGGATAGATTTGTTGACCGATTATTATCCACTCGAACCGCAATGAAGAAATCCTCCCAATCCGATTTGGATTTGACCAGTTCATTGAACCTTAGCGTACAACTAAACTGATTGATCTAAAGAAAATGATTGGTTACGATCTACCATCCAAAATAAATCCCCATCATGTGGTATCCTCTCCGTATATATAGAAATATTAAAATAAACCTTGCTATTCTGATAAAAAAGGAGTATAAAAGTAATCTTAAGTTTGTACCCTTTTTTTAATACAGTTTACGTATTTTCTATTGTTAATTGCCGCTCTCTCTCTCTCTCTCTCTCTCATCTCTTCTTTCTTGTGACGCTCCATTCATTGGGTGTGTCTCCTAGACAAATTTAGATTCAAAATCCTGAAAGATGTGATATGTGTGGAGTCATACCGTCAACAAGAAGAAAAACATAACAACAAGAGAAAAATCATGATAGAGATGTAGTGAAAATGGGGTGCACCAGAGAATTTATGGAGGAGTTCGTGCAACAAGAATTGCAGGAGTTAAGGAGCTAGATAGCAAACCAGATATCGGGACAGGTCGCAAAGGTCTTTAGAGTGGTCATGGTTTTGGGAGGAGAACATGCTTCTCGAGGATAGAACCCACCTTGAGAGGCTCAAAACCTCCATGAGAAGTGATGATAGTCCACAACTACAGAAGATTGAATTGTGTTCTAGAGAAGGTTGAAGACTCTCAGTACTAGGATAGTGCTTAATCGACACCAATGATAAAGAGACAAGGGTTTGGGAGTATTGAAGCCCCATGGCAACCAGAAACGGTGTCCCCTAAAAAATTTAAACTCTCGGCGTTAGAATCCTATAAGGGACGGTCAAATCCTAATCATAGCCACCTCGCATCCTTTGAATCATCAATGTGTCTGCTGAAAGTTTGTAATGCATTTAAATGCAAACTTTTTTAACCACTCTGAGGTGATTGGCTTTTAGGTGGTTCAATTCATTACCGACTGGAGTAATTGCCTATTTCTCAAACTTCAAGAGACTCTTATTGGCGTAGTTTACAAGTGCCCAAAGGCCTAAGAAGAGTGTACAGCCCCTGCGACAGCTTAAACAAGGGTTGAATGAAAGTTTTTGTTCATTTATTATGTGATTTCAGAGAGAAATGTTGGAAATGAAGGGCTTGCCACCCGACATGGCACAAGTCGCCTCGACTTAAGTCCTAAGTCTGAGAGGTTTCATTTTGACCTCTGCTTGGAGGAACCTCAGAGTTTGGTTGAATTGCTGGAGATGGACAACAAGTATATCAATGCCTACGAGAATGTCGTCAAACTCAAGCCATCAAATCGTCGACCTCAGAAGAGCCCCTGCATAACAGTGGATGGAGACAGAAGAATAACTCGTTTCCTCTTGTCTGTCTGTGGTATGATGATGGTCAACCGTCCCGCAATAATAATGGAACCGACCAGAATAACAACCAAAGTGGCCAGGTAAGGAGCCATGACTAGAGATCAGCCTAATGTTATGAATGATCTGCTCAACACTTCAAACGACTGTAATACAATCATAAGGGCCTTCGGGCTACTCCCTTAAGAGTATATATAGTTGAGATGGTAAACAACATTCAAGATAAACAGTACTTCAAAAAAGCCTTGCAGGTGACAGTCAGGGCTTTCTTTCAGGATATGAAAAAGTACTGCAAATATCACAAGAATCACGACCACGACATGGAGGAGTGTAGACACCTCCGGAACATGATTGATGAATTGATTTAAGGTAGGGAAGTTGAAGGAATTTGTGGCTCCTAGAGCAGCAACCCAGAGATTGACAAAGGCCTCAATAGTGGAAGTCCTTATCAAGCCAACATGTACAAATGCCATCCATATAGCTAGGGAAGTACCCACAGTTTTTTTAGGATTTGAATCCTATCGATGAGCCATCAGAAGAGGTACCAAACAGAAGAACTTTGTGTTGTTACTTTTATCCCAAGGAGAGTCCCATCCCTCCATTTTCTTCACGGAAGATCACCTGCCCCTGAAGGGGAACCCGTACAATGATGTCATAGTCATGATAATAAGGATCAATGGCTATCAGATATGGAGCATTCTGATTAAGATAGGGAGTTTTGCCATCTTGTTATTCAAATCTGTGTTTGATAAACTGAGCCTGTCGACCGATAGGCTAATGGCGTCGGCCGGTCCATTATATGATTTTTTGGGCCAACGGAAGAAGTTACACTGAGTAATAGGACTCATAGTCTACTGGGAGAAGAAGAAAAACAATTCATGTCAAGGAAGGATTTCCTTATGGATTCTTCACCAACCTACAATGCCATCTTTGGCCGCCCGCATTTAAACACCTTTAGGGCATTAATCTCAACCTGCCACGTGGCAGTAAAGTATTCAGGAGATGGTGAGATCATCACTATCTGAGGAAACTTGGAGTAATCGCGAGTATGCCACCTTCGAGTCGTCAACAATGTGGAACACCAGATAGTTGCATCCATAACCAAAGGTGAGGAAGTATTGAGACCAGTGAGACCACCATTGAGATCCTTGTCATCAACAGAGAAGCAAATAAATATTTTTTATTCAGTGAGGGTTTTGATGCAGGACGGAGACACTTATTGATCCAAACCTTTCGAGAAAACCTGGATGAGATCCTTGTCATCAACAGAGAAGCAAATAAATATATTTTATTCAGTGAGGGTTTTGGTCTTGTTAGTGGAGGAAATTCCAAGTGTGTTGATTAATGCAGATACCACCGACTGAATGTCGACCCATCAGTTTGGTCGATGAAGCAAAAGATCAGAGCTTCGGCCACGACACTAGTGGTACCCATTCGGGAAGAAGTACATAAGCTAAATGACCTCAGTTACATCTGAGAAGTGTAATACCCTACCTGGGTTTCTGATGTCGTTATCTTCCAGAAGGTCACTGTCAAACAGAAGATGTGCGTGGATTTCACGAACCTGAAGTGTGCCCAAAGGACTGCTATCTGCTACCGATGATCAACGCCCTGGTGGACTTTATTGTCGGTCAATCAGTCCTAAGTTTCTTGGATGCATTATTCGAGTACTATCAAATCAAAATGCACTCAGCTTTTGCAAAAAAGACTGCTTTTATTACTAGTGAAGAAATATACTGTTACAATATAATGTCTTTGGGGCTGAAAAATACTAGGACAACATACAGAGTCTAATAGTGTAACTTTTGTAAATCAAAAAGGAAAAAATATTGAAGTATATGTTAAGAGTTAGTTAGCCAAACAGCACCTCGGAGACTTAAAACAAATTTTTTCAAACACTTAAAAAATTTAATATGAAATTAAATCCCTTGAAATGCACATTCAGATCCTCGACTAACAGAGTCTTCGGATGCCTCGACCCCAAAGGCATAAAAGCCAACCCCAAAAAAGTCCAATCACTTATTAACATGTCATCTCCTAAGAATACTAAAGAGATCCATAAATTGACCAGCCAAAAGTTTTGAGTGGACGGCCGAATACAAAGGATGTGAAGAAGTTCTCCCAAAAATGTAAGCAATATTAAAAATACGGCATACTGCAACACCAGCCTGCCCACAACCTTCATCTGATCATCAGCTCATGTTACTTCGCCTTCTGGGAACTTGATATCCTTAGACCATTCCCACCATCAAAGGGGCAACACAAGTTTCTGTTAGTCGTTGTTGATTATTTATCAAACTGGATTGAGACAAAAGCACATGCTCAAATTATTGCTTAAGTTGGACAAAATTTCAAAGATGGTTCCCTGCTCAATGGCAATAAGCTCCGCGAAGGATATGACGCAACCTATGATGGAGGTCCAATCAAGAAACCATGGCCCACACGAATTAAGGGTTAAAACCCAGCTTGAACTCTCCAAATATGTCGATCGCAGCATAAGCCACCGGACCAAAAAAAACAAATGATCGACCGCAATGTCAAGACTGTCAGATCAGTTCAAAATCTACACTGTTTTAAAATATTAGCTCAATCCTTACATGATCCTCTATCTGGTAGCGACAAGCTCTACGAGGAGTACTAAGCAAGTCATCTGAGGGATCCGCTCGGAAAAGAGTGGGGAGTTAATCTAACGATAGACTTATACCACTCCAAATTCGACTTGAACAAAACAAGAAAGAAACCACCTCCAAGGACCAAGTGTTGAGCAGTCAATTGGTATAGTACAAAAGAAATAATGGAAAAATAAAAGGCAAGGTAAAAGACGAAGGTAATAACCAAAAAGAATTTCATTTCTTTTGCCAAAAATTACCATATGTTTTCTAAAACAAGAGCTATTACAAGTGTTCTCTTCCTTGGCTTCCTCCCCTCCCTTGGCAGGCCATCTCCTCCTTGCTCGCTAGGTCGACCCTTTCGTCCTCTGGATCCCAAGAGAAGCATAAC